TGTGTGTGTGCATATATATATATATATATATATATATATATATACACACACACACACACACACACACACACACACACATATATATAAAAAGCTTTCACTTAACATTCTTAAAACTCATTCACTCCCAAAGACGTTTTTAAACGTCTTTTCAGACTTGGTCCAGAATTGGCTGGTACTGAATGAGTTATACCACACAGCTGCCACCGGCTAACGGACTGAACAGCAATGCAGTGAATTGAATCATATCCTGCCTGTTTTAGATCTCTCCCTCCTCCAACACACTCGATTCAATTGATCATAATCGTTTCAGGCTTCGACCGAGCTTGCTGAAGAGCCGATCGCTGTGTTGAAGTAGAAAGATATCTAAAACAGGCAGGATATGGCTCTCGAGGAACCGGAGTTTCCTACCCCTGAAATAGGTGGTGAGAGGTGGGTGTAAGAAAGTAATGAATTGTTGCTGTGGGACAGAATAAACTAACAACAACAACTGTAATTATTAACTGTTTCCAGAAAGGGCACCGCACCGCAAGGCATGCTGGATACTCCTTTAAACTTCCCGGATGCATCTGAATGTGGTGGTTTTTGAAGCGGTGACTCCTGTCCCATGCAACTCCTCCTGGATCTTTTAAATAGTCTTGAATCTTCTCTGTTTGATAATCCACCGAAGACTACGGTCATCTCTTTTGCTGGCACCTGTTGTTTTGCCACATTTTGACCTTCCACTAGACTTTCCATTGATATCCTTGGATACAGCACTCTGAACAGCAAGCCTTCTTAGCTATGAACGTCTGTGGCTTACACATTCTATGGAGGTGATCAATGATGGTGTTCTGGCCAGTTGTCAAGTCTGCAATCTTCCCCATTTGACCTGAACAGAGAGAATTGAACCAAACTAGAGCTAATTTCTCCACAGTATTCATATACAGGATTTTGAATTCCTGGTTTCATGGGTTTTATGAGCTGGAAACACAAATTTTGAAGAAAGAAAAAAATAAACGATTACATACTTGGAATCATTTAAATTGGGCTCCAAATGTATTACAGTATGAAAGTTTAACTTTTTGAATGGAAATAAACTTTTCCATGATGTAAATTTTTTGGGGGTGGGGGAGAGGGTCTGTATTTAATATTCAAACTGATAAACTTAATTGTTTTAGCAAATAATCGTTTTGGAATTTTATGGCTGCAACCCATTCCAAAAAAGCTGGGACAGGGTCATGTTTATCACTGTGTGACATCACCTTTTCTTTCAACAACATTCAAGAAACATTTGGGGAATGAGGACCCCAATTGTTGAAGCTTTGTGGAATACTTTCACATTCCTGCCTGATGTACAGCTTCAACTCTTCAACAGTCCGGGGTCTCCGTTGTCGTATTTTTTGCTACATGATGTGGCACACATTTTCAATGGGAAACAGGCAGGCAGGGAAACATTAACACGTGCAGAATGTAGTTTGGCATTGTCTTGATGAAATAAGCACTGTCGTCCATGAACAAGACATTGTTTGGATAGCAGAAAATCCAAAAACTTTCAGCATTAATGGTGCATTCACAGATATGTAAGTTATCCATGCCATTGGCACTAACACAGCCCCATACCATTATAGATGCTGGCTTTTGAACTTTGCGTCCCTAACAGTCCGGATGGTTCTTTTCCTCTTTGGCCCGCAGGACACGGCATCCACAATTTCCGAAAACGGTTTGAAATGTGGATTCATCAGGCCACTGAACACTTTCCCCACTTTGCATTAGTCCATGTTTGATGAGCTTTGCTTTTAATTTCGTCAAATGCTATTGCAGGGGCGATGCACTATTTGCCAAAGAAAATGACGGTGATGCTGATGTCCTTAAAATTTGGGAAAACAAACTTTGCACGCACATCAGGCCTGACAAAATATATATATTTTAGAGTCGTATTTTGTGATTGTTAAAAAATTGGCCAACCCCAAAGTTGGCCACGGGCAGCGATGGCCCTTTGTTTTGGCCATTTGCTGCTTCCGTTTCTAGTTTTATCTGGTTTTGTTTGAACAATAATGAATAGTAATTTTTTTCTTTTTGTCTTTTTAATACTTGCAGTTTTATGGCTACCTCTCGCAGCAACAAAATATGATGCAGGACTATGTGCGCACAGGGACCTACCAACGGGCCATTTTGCAGAACCACGCCGACTTCAAGGACAAGGTAATGAGATTTTTTTAACAAAGTCAGAATTCATGTAATGACCTGTACAGCAAAGTCAATTCAGGGTTACATCTTACATTTGTGTGTCCACAATTTTACTCGTCTATGTTTTCTTTTTTTTTTTTTTTTTTTTTTTTTAAACACAGTATTTCACAGTCTTACAAGTGACTTGCACAAACACGGTGACATCCACACACATGCCGCCTCAGGCTACATGTAGTGTATTTTCTTTATTTCATGTTCATAATCATTTTCTTCTTAATAGAATGAAATATAAAAAATTGAATTTTTGAGTATTTTGTTGGTATTTTAATGAGGAAAATGTAGAACTTTTTCTAAGTGTAAGTATTTTGCATCAGTATGTGTCTCTCTCTCTCTCTCTCTCTCTCTCTCTCTCTCTCTCTCCCCTTGCTCCTACATCCTCCATCA